CCGAACAAAGTAGGCCTTTTGGAAAGCCTTGACGAGCCCAACACCGCAGACTGCGCCCAGGCACTGCGCTACCATGTACGCGAGTGCGCGGATTAAGGACACTTTACGGGCCAAGAAGAGTCCGAATGTCACCGCTGGGTTAATGTGTCCTCCTGTTTACATGGGTTGGAAATGTGCAGCGGCGCAGGTTAGCAAATTATTGAGAGAAATTAGAAGAGAGATATATATAGGGGGAAATATATATATATTTTCGTCCAGACTATACATGAAGATGGTGTTGTGTAATTTTTCAATTGTAACTGCAGCTGTAATTTGCTGGTTAAGACAATTATATTTAACTGTGACTGAATTATTATAATTAAAATTGCAGCTGTTAATACTTTTTTTTTAAATTAATAGACAATTTCATTTAGCAAAAAGGTCGTGCATACTTGTGCTGAAGCAACAACTACAAATTCAACTGTTTTCTTTAAAAAAAAATTGAAAACACAATAATAAGAATATATATAAATCTTATCAGAACATCACCTCACCGGTGAGCTAGTTAATTTGGAACTGTTTATCTGCAGAATATATATCCTGATTAAAATCTGCTCTATTTCAACAAAAAAAAAACAAAAAAAAAGGCTCCGCGCGCGCCGTGAACTCACCAGAGATACCGGCGGTGCAGTAAACAAGAATGAAGATCATCCCACCAAAAGCCCAAGCAATCCCAAGAATCCCGACACCGCTACACGCGGCATCAGAGCTCAAACCCGGGTCGGACTGGTGTTTGTACCCAATAACAGTGGCGACCGTTATGTAGAGGAACAACAAGGTGGCGACGAACTCTGCGATCACCGCGCGGTAGAACGACCACTTGGTCAGTTCCACGGCGTCGAACAGTGGGGCCGGAGGCGGGTCGGTGTAGTCCTTGGCGGTGAAGTCACCGGATTTGGTCATGGTGGAGGTTGGGTCGAGGAAATTGAGAGAGAGAGAGAGAGAGAGAGAGAGAGTTGAGAGAGAGGAGGAGGTTTGAGAGTGAGGATGAGGTGAGATAAGGTGGGTATTTATGGGGTTAGAGAGCGAGAAAGAGAGAGAGAGGAGAGAGACGGGTGTTCTTCGCAAACTATAGTAACTTGCAACAAATTAAATATAACAATTTAAAGCAATATGTAGTAATTTATAGAAATATATAGCAAACTAAA